GCAACCTAACTAAGTACATTATATTTATTGTAAGTGATTATGATAAAAACAATAAATATTTGCGTATATTTATCATCAATTATAAAAATACAAAAAATGTAATACATTTAGTTAGGTTGCTGTGGTGGCGAACAAATGTTTCGCGAAAATATTCACCCCCTGTTATGTAACCTACGAGGTGTTTTCGCGAACTTGCGCGTGACTTTTAAATTACTTCTTTTGAATTCTGACAGGACAACTATTATGGGAGGTTTTTTCCTCCCAAATACAAATAATACTTCCAATTTTTGGATTGGGACTATTCTACAATGAAGTACTCCTGGATAATGTAATCTAAATACATATGAAAACGAAGAAGTGGCATTTATCGGGCAGAGAAGCGGCGAGCCATTAAAATGGCGGCAATTTGACGAAGTATCGAAGGACACAATATCGAAGTTAAATACACTGCACTGTTTCTAAAATGGATGAAACCTTCTTTGAAATCTTCTTCAGCCATTTATGATTATGTAAAAGTACAATAACTGGATGATATTTGTGAGATTCGGCGATAAAAAGCAAACAAGACGGCAAAATATGGCTGAAATCGTGTTTTCGCGGGGGGTAAGTGAAATAAAATGTATTGTATTTACAGAAAACAATGACAATCCTTATGATATCAACAATATTTATATTAAATTAAGCATAGTTTTTCACCCCATGATAATGTTTTTTAGGAAATAAGAATATTTAATTTCTGCCAGGCATATTAGTGATTTTATGCATAATTAGCAATTTACCTGGGTATTTGCATGGTTATTTTCTTGTAAAATATTTACTTAGACAAATTTTTTCTTCCAATGACCACCCCTAAAAGTAACCCTTCTAAACACTATAAGCACTTCAGAAAGACTATCGCTTTTTGTTTTCTGAAGTTAGAGCTATGTTTTTCTGAAGTTAGAGCTATGTAGACACTACCGTTTCAGGGCGGGGCCATTTTCAGGACTTTCGTCCAGGATTCAGGTTTTGGCACATATGCCATGTTGACCGCCATGGTCATCTTACCCTAAAACAGTTGAGATTACCTGTGCTAAATGAAACGCATACAAACTCATATACAGGTCCTAGAGTAGTATCTTGGCTGATTGAGGATGTAAAAGAAAAAATCGACCCCAGCCAATTTGGTTGCGTGAAAGGGACATCCACCACTTTTTGCCTTCTGGACATGTTACATACTTGGCTTTCCCACCTTGACGGACTCGGTAATCATCTGCGTATTTGTTTCCTAGACTTCTCCAAGGCCTTCGACCGCATAGGTTATAATCTATTAATTGAGAAACTGATAAATTTGGGTGCTAGACGCTCATTAATCCCTTGGATCATCAACTTCCTCTCAAATCGAAGGCAGCGTGTTAAATTTGACGGAGCAACCTCCGACTGGCTTCCAGTGAATGCAGGTGTTCCTCAGGGGGACAAAACTAGGTCCAACCTTGTTCCTAGTAATGGTCAATAACCTGCGAATCACTTCTCCCGACACTAGAATGTGGAAATACGTAGACGACGTTTCAACCTCTGAGAATCTTAGCAGAAATTGCACCTCTATCACTCAATCAACCCTTAATTCAGTTCAGTTGTGGGCTTCCGATAATTGGATGAAACTTAATATCAAAAAATGCAAAGAGCTTCGTGTTAGTTTCCTTGGAGAAACCCCCCAATTAATGCCTCTGTTAATCGATGGACACCCAGTTGAGACAGTGCGTTCACATAAAGTACTGGGACTCACGATCCAAAACAACCTGAAATGGGATGAACATATCCATGAAATAGTCTCGAAGGCATCCAAACGATTGCATATCCTCCGGGTGTTGCGCCGATGTGGTATTCCTCCTGCAGACCTTCTCACTGTGTATATTGCGTTAATACGCTCAATCCTTGAATACTTTTGTGAAGTTTGGCACAACTCTATCTCATGCTATTTATCTGAGAAACTTGAAAAAATCCAAAAGCGAGCCTTGCGTATTGTATACCCTGGACAAACTTACAAAGATGCGTTGCTGTCGGCTGGTATCACCAAATTGGAGACTAGACGTGAAGATCTATGTTTGAAGATACTCACGAAGATAACCAGAGGTGGTCCGCTTACACAACACGTGACACAGACTAGATCGAACGAGCATAATTATTTTATTAGATCATTAAATAATTTATCAACTTATAAATGTCGAACTGATCGGTTTAAAAATAGCTTTTTCCCAAATACAATTAATATCGCTAATAGTAAATAGTGACTGGTGAGACTTGATTTTAACTTTGTTCTAACAACCATTGTAAATAATCTTATATTATTATAGTATTTTAATGTAAGCACTTTGTACTTCACTTTATGTGCGAATTTGTGCTATTAAACATCATCTTATCTTATCTTATCTTATCTTATCTTATCTTATCTTATCTAGTAATGAATTTCCACTGTACGCCTTTGTCGACACAATACTCTCGCAATGTCTTCTTACCAGTTTCTTGAAGCATCTTCTTCAGGTCGGTCAAAGCTCCAACAAACTGAGTCCCGTTGTCGCTCATAATCATCGCGGGATATCCTCGAATGGAGAAAAATCGTCTGAGTGTCTGAATGAACTCCATTTCTGAGCAATCTGTTGCGATCTCTAAATGCACGGCTCTTGTATTTAAACACGTGAAGATGACTCAGTAGTGCTTGGTTGTCTTGTTACGGCTAATCTTGACGGTCAACGGTCCGAAATAATCACAGGATACGCGTAGTGGAAGGGGGGAGTATGAGGTGCTACTCGGAACGGTGATAGGTTTGCCATCAACTGACTCTCGACTTGTGGGTTTATTTCTTTACGCAATTGGACTTGATTGTCTTTACCAAGTCATGCACTCTGATGATCCAATAACGTCTTCTAGTCTTTGCAGCTGTCGTCGCAGCACACGAGTGCCCCATTCTGTGAGCCTCCTCTGCAATCAATCGCGAAACTCTATGATCGTAAGGTAGTAACGCGGGATGCTTTGTTTCGTATGAAACTAATGCATTTTCGACACGTCCGCCGACTCTGATGATCCCTTCTTCATCTTCAAACGGAGAAAGTGTTCGGAATTCGTTTCTTTTCAGGCGATCCTTTAGGCTTTTTTGTGCTTCCTTTATCCAGACCTTTCGATTTTCCTCGAGCTCGTTCGGAGTCAACGACTCTTCAGCTACCGAATTCTCTTCTCGAACTCTTCGTATCTTTGCCATAAGGTTATTCTTTATTTTAACACCCACGCCGAAACGCGTAGGAGTCTTTTCCAGCTTGAATAATCTTTGCGTTCAATCACACTCTTTAACTCGACTGCTTCAGTTGTCACCAATCCAACGGATTTCTTCTTTATACATTCACGCTCGACTTCGGTTGCATCAGGTTTGCTATCTTCTTTCGGCCATTCCTCAATTGGTTGCTGCAAGAATTCTGGACCGGTCAACCAACATCCAGACAAATCAGGAACAGACAACCCGCGTGATACATCATCGGCAGGATTTTGCTCAGTTGGAATGTATTTCCATTGGACCGGTTTCACATTGCTTCGAATCTCTCCAACTCGACTTGCTACGAATGGTTTCAGACGCTTTCCGTTATTCTTTATCCAGGCCAAAACAATTGCACTGTCCGTAAACAGGATAGTTTCTTGGAGCTCGATCCGGATTTCTCGCTCGATCGATTTGCACAATCTGGTCGCCAACACAGCTGCTTGGAGTTCCAAAAATGGGATAGTCAACTCTTTCAAAGGGGCTACTCTGGGCTTGGCTGCAATGAACTTTACTTTAACTTCACCTGAGGAGATTTCGCTTCAAGCACCTCGCATGCATCTGCAAACACGCACAGAATTGGCGGCTCTACTACGTTTCGTGGACAAATACATCTCTCGAACGATACGCCATTCAGCTGCTTCATTTCTTCGAAGTATGATGACCATTTCTTCTGAGTACTCGGGGCAAGCTCGATCGTCGTCCCAGTCCACACCTTCTTCCCATAACTCTTGGAGATTTATCTTTGCTCTCACGAGAAAAGGCGCGACAAACCTAATTGGATCGTATATTCGAGCGATTTGGCTGAGTATCTTGCGCTTGGTCAGATCAGTAATAACGCATTTCACAGCTTCAATTTCGAACTTATACTTTAGGAGGTTTTTCACGGTGTCCCAGGATACACCAAGCGCTTTCGCATCGGTTTGACTTTGTGGCACATTGATTTCATCCAATTCCGTTTTATGCTCTTCTAGGTCTTTATTTGATTGCCATCCTTTTACTTTAAATCCACCTGTCTCCAGAATTCTGTCTACTCCGCTTGTCAGTTTCTTGGCTTCTTCTTGTCAACTGAGTCAAGAATGTCGTCCATATAGGTGTTGTCCTTAATGGTTCGTGCAGCTTCCGGATTACTGCTTTCTCCTTCCTCTACCATCTTTTGCAAGGCGATCTGGGCCATAGCAGGTGCGGGCTCGTCACCGAACGTCAAAACGTTCATTACGTAAATGTCCGGCGGCCTGTTCGTTTCCAAATTTCGCCAAAGGAATCTATGCACGTGTTTGTCCTCCACAGGAATGAGAACTCGATGATACATCTTGGATATGTCAGCGGTTACAGCGACCTCTTTCTCTCTAAAGCGTAGTATAACTCCGAAAAGATCGTTCAATAAATCGGGTCCCTTTCGCCAATATTCATTGAGTACATGGCCTTGATATGACGGCGACGAGTTGAAGACTATGCGAACAGGTGTGTTTGCACTGTCTGGTCGGAGAACTGCATGGTGCGAAATGTAATGAACCGGACCTTTGTACTCTTCAATCTCCTTTGTTGTCAACATGCTCGCGAAGTTCATTTCTTCCATCTCGACGATTTTACGATTATAGGCGTCGGCCTCGTTTGGTTTCTTCAACAGTCGGTGTTCAGTAGATTCCAGACGTTTAACTGCTTGCTCTTTATTATCAGGTAGCTCAGTGGGATTCCTTTTCCATGGGTACGGGATCATCCATTGGTCTCCAACTTTTCTGGCGGATTGTTCTATCAGCGTCTTTTCTTCTCGATCTACCTGGTTTAACTTGTTTGCATCACAGACACAAGGGTCAACTTGGACACCCATTGCTTCTGTTGTCCAAAAATCAGAAAGGTCCACTGGAGAAGTTACCTTCACATGGAGAACATTACTTAGATCACCGGACGTCGTACCAAATATCATCCAACCCAGAGGAGACTTTCTTGCAACCATATGGTTAACCTCTCTTGTCTGACCAGTATGCATATGTGCATGATCAATTCCCACGAGAAGATCAACATGCCCGTTTCCACGTCTGATTTCCTGCCTCGGTAGGCTGAACTGCTCTGCTAGTGCACTCGATCGGACACTTTTGATTTCGTCACTGATACATGGGATTCCAGTTGCTCTAACCACATACTTCTTCTTATCATCTATTCCAGTCACAATCACTTTGTACACTTTTGTTTGAATTTCTTCTTCTTCTCCTCCAACCTTTACGATATTCACAGTTATATCTTGATCATGCAAACGTAAACTGTCCGCAGTCTCTCTTCGAATTAAATTAATTTGGGCTCTGGAGTCAAACAGAATGTTTCCGGTCTTGTGCACTCCATTAGATCCACAGAAATTGGCAGTGATTACTGGTAACATTGTGTCCTTTTGCTCAGAAAGGGAAGCAACACCGACATGTGTTGTTCTGGATTTGTGCAACAATGGATGGTGAGTTGAGGTACATTGATTTCCTCTTTCGACTTTCGTACATTGTTTGCGTCTGCTGCAATTCGCTTGTCGGTGGTCTCGGCCTGCCTTCTTTAAACAGCTGAAACATGCATGGTTGGTCTTCGCTGCGCTTAGGGACCGGTCATTATTTATGGAAGGGGGGAGGGGGATTTTTTCTTTCCTAAATTTTTAAAATTGAAAGCCCCCCCTTTTAAGGTGGCTCGCTATAGTTTATAGAAATGTTGAAAATGCGTAAACTAGATCACCTTTTTGAAGAGATGATGCTCTTTACAAATCGAAATTTGTATATTATATATACAGCGACAATCAAACAGTCGAAAATTGCTCAGAAAAGTGACGTCACCACTGTTGCTATGGCAGCAATGACGATTCAAGATGGCCGATATTTTGGCTTTGAACGCATTTTACTTTAAAAAAAGGTCGGTTACCCCCATTTTTTATTTCAGAAAACATTTTCTTATAGTACAATACACTATCTGACCAATTTTAAAAAAATTCTGTAATGCCAAATTTTTAAAAAATTTATAAACATGGTTTTTCGAAATAATTTTTTTTTTGCATTACAGAATTTTTTTTAATTGGTCAGATAGTGCATTGCACTATAAGAAAATGTTTTCTGAAATAAAAAATGGGGGTAACCGACCTTTTTTAAAGTAAAATGCGTTCAAAGCCAAAATATCGGCCATCTTGAATCGTCATTGTTGCCATAGCAACAGTGGTGACGTCACTTTTCTCACCAATTTTCGACTGTTTGATTGTCGCTGTATATATAATATACAAATTTCGATTTGTAAAGAGCATCATCTCTTCAAAAAGGTGATCTAGTTTACGCATTTTCAACATTTCTATAAACTGTAGCGAGCCACCTTAAGTTGTGTACAGTTGTCAAAAGATCGATCAAAATATACAGTTATAGAAATATACAGTTAAAGAAATGTTATTACAGCTTTGCACTCTTTTTAAAGGAAAAAGTGTTATTTTATAGTCACCTATACATTCACTTGCAATCGACATATACTTTCATCTCCTGTTCATAGGTGCAGATTTCATTAATAACGTCTGCATATAAATGATCACAAATACAGTAATGAAACTAAAACCGAAGACTGACACAGCTAGTGTTGGAAAATGTCCTGCAGCGCCACTGCCAGGAAATCTTTAACAAAATATCTTTTCAGGAAATTTTCTTGCATTTTGCAGAAACTTTTTTGTCATATTATATACTAGAGTGCCATATACAAACTTCCTCCATACTTTATATAGATTTAAGAGAACGTATGGTACAACACATGATGATACAAGAAATTGCGGTGCACAATCTCAACTCGCAAAACGCGTTTGTATATATATACAGCTATTTCAATTAAAGTTGTCAACAAGCAAAGCGGAAAAGTCAAATACGAGCGCGAAAGGCTGCTGGGAACCGCTTTGAAAATTCATTAATTTGTTAGCGATTCCCAGCAGCCTTTCGCGCTTGTATTCGACTTTTCCGCTTTGTTCGTGGACAACCTTAATTGAAATAGCTGTATATACAAAAGTGTTTTGCGAGTTGAGATTGTGCACCACAATTTCTTATATAATCATGTGTTGTATACCATACGTTCTCTTAAGTCTATATAAAGTATGGAGGAAGTTTTGCATTTGACTTACACAGGAAATTTCTGTTTTTGGATTTTGTTGCCAGGAGGAGAAATATTTTCTCTTGGCCTGGACTAACCTTCCCGTCATTATCCCGACAGCACAATCATGCATGCAATTATATATATTCAGTAATCTCACAGTGCTAGGTCATACACAGTAACGTAGCTATAGTACAATATAGAAGCTATCGATTGTAAATCATCAATGGTGTGTCTAATTAGGAAGCGAAGGTTGTTGTTTAACGAATTCATGTTCCTGACATTTAGGGGCAAGGTGAGAGACAGTAAGTATAAAGAATGTTCCAATGTCATACCTTGGCTACGATGAACTCAGCGTCCTCGGGACTATCCAACTGCAGCTTTGAAGGAATCTCTTCCAAAGATATCTTGGAGTATGACAAGCTCATCATACGTATGCCAGTTTTGATGACGTTGTGATGTAGTCTAAGTAATTTATAATGCAGCAATACCATATATCAAATAATTATTTTTAATGATTTAACGGATTTTTGGGCATCTCGTTCGGTATAACTAAAGGTACAGATGGGGTATTTACTGTATAGATGGAATTTTCGAACGTATATTTATATGCATTTTAGACCTGACCGAGAGCAGCTGCGAGAAATGCAACTCTAGGCCATCCAGCAGGAAACGAACCTGCGACCTTGCGATTCCGATGCAGCGCTCTGACCAACGCTTGTTTCTACAACAACCTGAGGTTAATGCTCGACAACTAGTGGACTCTACAGCTCAGTCATCTGAGTGCTGTACCGGAATCACAGTACCGTACACAGTAGGTTCATCGAGACATCAGAATATCTGTTGTTTGAAACAAGAGTTAACTGAAAGCACTCTTCTCGCATGCAGTTCAAGAGGAGAAAGGCATATATGCACCTATCATTGTGCCAAAAATACCAATAACATGCATAATAACTCAGCTATTCAATATGACTCATGTGTCACTTTTCGCACATTATACAGTAAATTTAATAACACAAAATTAATTCATACTTCGTATTTTTGGCAACACGTACAATGATTTTTTGTCTGGTAAGACATGCATGCTAAATTAATGATTTCTTGACAAAATTTACCGGTTAACTTAGACACAGTTTAATAAAAGTTTGATTACTGTGAAGTGTGGTGTGATGGATAGAAACAAAAAGTTCTATGTTGTCAATAAACTACCTAAAGATATTTGTGTGTGTTGGTGTTATGTAGCTATTCAGGTGAATATGATGTTTGTAATTTTACTCTGAGTGTGCATCCACACCGGCCAAGCTGAAAAGTTTGCTTGGCCACGGTGGGAATCGAACCAGCGACCTTTGGGATACTAGTCATTGGCCAGTCGGTTCGAATTGATGATATTTCGGAACTGAGTCTAGTTCCTTCGATATCAGTGTATTCTAAGATATGACATTTGTGTGTGTTGGTGTTATGTAGCTACTCAGGTGAATATATGATGTTTGTGAGTATCCCAAAAGGTTGGGGTTTCGGATTCTCTGCTGGCAAAGGTCTCTATTTGTGCTGCATGGGAACTCGAACGAGAAGAGACCTCTGCCCTAGATCCGACACTTCCTCAGTCCATGATCGTGGACGAGTCAAGCCAGTTTGTAAAACAAGTTTTGAAACCGGTTTAGAGAAACAAATAGTACGCATGCTCAGAGCTGAATTACGCTGTAATGACATTGAGCCCGTAGTGTCAAAATGGCGGCTTGGACAGCGTGGTCATTTCGAGGTTTTTCATGTTGTTTGAAGTGCTCTAAGTATGTAATTGATATTTTCAAAGATGAAACTGTGAAAGCAGTGACAAGCATGAACAAAAGAAAGCAATCGTTTGTGTTTTATCGGGCCAAGATACATTTGCTTGCCTTCAAACTACGGTAAGTCTTTGAATTACCAAGTTGCTCCCGAAAAAACCGATTTGATATCACGTGGTGAAAATCACTCGTTGTCATGGCAATTCTTGCACATGCGCGACAGAAAACATGTCGGATCTAGGCAGAGCTCTCTTCTCCTTCGAGTTCTCAGCACAAATAGAGACCTCTGCCAGCAGTGAAGGTTTCGGATTGGATTTTAATTAAATTTAATTTAATATCTATCGTATGAAACAAAAAATGTAAACAAAACACGCGCATGAGCAGAACGGACTTGACAGCCTCTTTTGATAAGTCTATCAAAATATAAATCTGTCAAAATATAAGTCCATCATTTTTCTTCTTATAAGTCTATCAAAATATTGAGCTACATTACCATGACAACGACGTCGCATTTTGCGACTCTATTTCCTGTTTCAAAAGCAGTTAAAGACCTGTCACACAATTGCGTATCGTACTAGCGTATGCCAGCGTATGAAAAATATCACTCATACGACGGTATACGCTGACATACGTGGTACGTTAAGCATAAGTTGTATACGTTTCAAGCAAGGTCGCATACGGTAGCTTATTCGCTGGCGGCATACGGCGAGGCAGAACTTTTTTTTAAGCATGCTCAAAAATTTTGTGCGTATTCGGACGTACGCTTTATACGATAAGCAACATTAGGCACACGCTGAATACGCTAGAGGTACGCCAGATGTACGGTACTCATACGCTGGCATTTCAAAGGATTTTTGTGCGTATGAAAATTATTTCGTTAATTTCCATACGCTTCTCTCATACGCAATAATGTGACAGGGCCTTAAGGCCAAAAATTATAATTTTACAAATTATAAATTAAATATCATCCTATCAAAATATTGAGCAACATTACTATGGCAACTGACGTCATTCTCTTGGACTCCATATCCACCCTCGCAATTCGTGTTTCAAAAGCAGCATTTCGAAACAATGAACGTCAACCTATTGAATGCAGCCCAAGGGTTGAGGTTGTCGATATCACTTTAAAGATCAACCGTCTTTTGACTTTCAACTCTCTTCAGGACTTTGGTATCGTCAGCGAAACAGGTCACTTTTAATGATGACAACACGGCCTTGGTTAGATCGTTCACATATAGAAGAAAACGTACTGACCCTAGGATCGACTTTAGGGGACTCCCCACGTTACCTCTCGTTCTTACACATCTATCAAAATAGAATTCTATCAAAATAGAATTCTATCAAAATATATAAGTCTATCAAATATCTTCTTATACGTCTATCTTACTTTGAAGATCAACGCTATCTTGTTGACTGTCAACTTTCTTCAGGACTTTGCTGTCGTCAGCGAAACAAGTCACTTTTGATGACAACACGGCCTTGTGTAGATCGTTCACATATAAGAGAAAAAGTACGAGCCCTAGGATTGAGCCCTAGGGAACTTCCGACGTTTCCTCTCGTTCTTATATTTATACGTCTATCAAAGTATAGGTCAATCAAAATATTGATATCAAAATTTTAGTGTATGAAAATGTAAGTCTATGAAAATAAGTCTATCAGAAAGTCTAATAAAAACATAA